GTTGGGTCCTGTTGGGTCCTGTTGGGTCCTGTTGGGTCCTGTTGGGTTCTGTTTGGGTCTGGTTTGGTCCCGTTGGGTCTGGTTGGGTCTGGTTTGGTCCCGTTGGGTCCTGTTGGGTCCTGCTGGGTCTGATTGGGTCCCTTTTTAGTCTGGTTGGGTCCTGTTGGGTCTGGTGGGTCCTGTTGGGTCCTGTTGGGTCCTGTTGGGTTCTGTTGGGTTCTGTTTGGGTCTGGTTTGGTCTGGTTGGGTCCGGTTGGGTCCGGTTGGGTCCAATTTTGTCCGATTGGGTCCAATTGGGTCTGGTTGGGTCCTGTTGGGTCTGGTTTGGTCCGATTAGGTCTGGTTGGGTCCTGTTGGGTCCTGTTGGGTCCTGTTGGGTCCTGTTGGGTTCTGTTGGGTTCTGTTTGGGTCTGGTTGGGTCCTATTGGGTCTGGTTTGGGTCCGGTTGGGTCTGTTTGGGTCCGGTTGGGTCTGTTTGGGTCTGGTTTGGTCCCGTTGGGTCTGGTTGGGTCTGGTTTGGTCCCGTTGGGTCCTGTTGGGTCCGGTTGGGTTTATTTAGGTCTGGTTGGGTCCTATTGGGTCTGGTTGGGTCCTATTGGGTCTGGTTGGGTCCTGTTGGGTCTGGTTTGGTCCGGTTGGGTCTGGTTGGGTTCTGTTGGGTTTCTGAGGGGAAATCTGAGCATTCAGTTTATTTTTTAAGATAAAAACAGAACAAATGAAGCTTCTATTCACAGTTCGGAGGTTTTTGGAGTTAAAAGTTGAGTAAAAACAGCAAAAATCCGGCAGATTGAATAAATCTGAGCCAAACTGTTTTTTTTTTGGAGCCACTTTTCAACATTTGAAAACAGATAAATGAGCTGGACTTTAACGCTTTATATTGATTATCAATCAGATAGAAGAAGAAGAATGACTTAAAGGCTTAAAGGTTAATTTCTCTGGACCAATGAGTTAAAACACATTTCTGACCAGTTTTCTGAGGAGAAATCTGAGCAGTCAGCCAGTTTTTAAGATAAGAACCAAACAAAACACCATTTCTGGGTCTTTTGGGGGTTTAAAAACAGCATTTTTGGATATTTGGTGGTTAATAAACACCATTTCTGGGTCTCTTAGGGTCTAAAACAGCATTTCTGGTTCTTTTGGTGGTATGAAAACACCATTTTTGGGGTTTTTTACGGGCTAAAAACCGCATTTCCGTGTGTTTGGGGTCTCCTGGGCCTGAGGTGTTTCCTTTTGGACCCCGGGGGAGTCGGAGGTGTTGGATTAGGATCTGTTGACAGGCTGTTGAGTCTGAGCCCGGCTGAGAATAGAAACCGAGGGTCAGAGTCTGAGTCTGAGCTGCTCTAACCGGATTAAAGCAGGTTACCCAGTCTAGAGCTCTGATTGGACCCCGAAACGGTGACATCATCCAATCTAAGGAGCCTCCAAATGCCCAAAAACCAGAAAAAAAAGACGTAAAATGAGTAAAACCAGACGGATGTCCACGTAATAACTAGTTATTCCTGTTGTTTTTAGTCTGAATAATCTTTTATTTTGTCAAAGCTTTTATTTTGAAAAATGACTGGATTCTCTCAGTCACCTGAGGGCCCAAAATTGAACCCAAAAGTTAGAAAAATTAGTAGAAAATAGACGTTTTTGGAAGG